AATGAAATGAAATATACAAATATTGACATCTTAAAAAGCAACATTACAATTTTCATAAAATGAATTAATAACGTATCCCTATGGACCAGTCATTGAATTTAGGGATACTTTTACTTTTTCTAAGTGTCAAGCGTTGCTATTTTATGATTGATAAATCATGAATGATATTTAAAATGACACATTTAAATTATCTGGTTGTTTTATATCTTATGACACCTATTATATTTCATTATTTTATCTAATTATAAACAGATTCTCCCTGTTCTATTGTAAGAATCACGTGACTACACGTTGTATGTTAGTGTTATAGAATCTATTAATAGTAACAGATTGCTGATAAGACATACTAGTTGGAAAACGGTATGGGGGCTAATAAGATGCAAATGTATAAATAATAACATAGTTATCTTTCATTAATCAGTTTCATATTTTATATCATTAGAAAGGATTAGTACATTAAAGAATTAAATAAATTTTCAAAACCTTTTCATTTTATCTTGGTAAAGGGTTAAATTTTGCCCTTTCTGTCAATGTTCAATAGTTTAGTTTAGGTTGAACATCACAAAATAGATTTATGCTAAAGAGGCACATTTATTGAAATAAATAGTGGTAATCGTCGTCTTCGTTATATATTCCGTCGATTTCCGTCGCGCAGGTTACCAAAACGGTACGACACATAATAATGAAAACTAATAAAATATCTTTTTGTTAATATTTTATCGAACTGAAAGGCAATTAAACATTAACTATATCGTATGTAACGACAGGAATATTGATTTCAACTAAATAGCTTATTTTTTTCGATAGCGCAAAAAAAATAGTTTTATGAAAACTGCAAAAGGGATTTTCAAAGATTCGAATTTGGCCTACTAGGTCACAACTTCGTCCTATACTTACCACATATTAATTAATTTAATATCGAGATCTATACTATCAATAAAATCTTTAGCATAAATCATAATAAGTTACGTAAACTAACGTACGAAATACTTGCTTAATAATCATAGCAGTTCCTTAACAATATTGCTAAGCAAGTTTGCTTCATATATGATGTTTTATTGTGAATAAACAGTTAATTAACATAAATTGTTCCTCTTTTCTTTATACCTGAACCATTAATTAAACTGATTTTTTTATATTTATGATAATACAGTCATTTTCTATCCGGCGACTTGATGCTTTAGCATCAAAATCTCTACTTGTTATTAATTAAGAATGAAATGTCGCGATATGTTACAATGATTAGCGAACTGGAGAATTTCGCAATGCAAACATTTTCAAATGAAATAACCTTTTCCGTCAGTAAATCGCGCACTTCGGGTTTTTTTATTTATCATGTTGTAGTACACAGTGGGTTATCATGGTATGTTATTGTTGTACATGTATCCTAGAATGATCAGTTGATGACCTAAATATTCAAAAAATCTATTTATAGATATATCTATTTATCACTCCTATCGGTAATTACCGGTCTCTCTCGGTCTATTTTGACCAGGATTTACTAGTGACCGGCGAATAGTACCACACGTTTATTGTCCGGTCTCTCCCGGTTTTGGAGTAGATGTTTGATATCGTTACAATTAGAAAAAAAAACAATAGCATGTTTCATTTTATCTATTTGAGATAAAAACAATAAATATGTACACGGATTTATATGTAATATAAATCCGTGATATGTACAATAATTGAGAAAAGGGTACATTTTTATGGTATTAAAATGACATTATCAACTTTGAAACATTTTATTTAATTTATTATTCGTGTTTAGTAAAGATGCCGAGGAATTATTCAAAGTTACAAATTAGATTTTATGAATTATTCAATTGATTGATAATTTAAAAAATGATAAAGAAAAATACAAATGTACATGTACATGGTTTAAGAATAAACAATATTATATATTGAAAGATAACCCATAATTTACTGACTTTTTCCAGTTAAGCTTTGACTTATAATCGTCGGTCAATATGACAATTGAATTCTTAAAATTTATTTTACAATTTTAATAAAAAAGAGTAGTAAAAACTCAGTATTAAAATAGCACATAAAACACAAAAAAGAAAAGAAAACAATATTCATAAAATTTGTAATTTTTTTAATTAAAATTAATAGATATTACAATTATTGTATAATAAACAATTATGCTTAACATGGTAATATAACCACTGTCATATTTTTACTAACTTAAAGTGTGAACAGATACCTTAAGAGGGGGTCTTCGCTAATAGCGATAACATAATAAGGGACAATTACAAAGGTGTGGTACGTGTTGATCATGCGTCACACATATGGATTATAAATGATTGCAAACATGTATATCCGTTGCTATTAATAACCACGATCATAAAGAAATAACAAGTAATATTCTAATCTCTAGCATGCCAATCAAAGTTCATAATGAACAATGTCTTTCGTCCGCTCATTCATAAGAGATATACATTTCTGGTAGTTTATAAGATTATCTTGTCATCATATGTGTACTAGTTCATCTTCACTTGCTGCATTTCTTGCTTGGACGCCCTTTGATGCTTTGCATCAATTCTTTTCTTGTATAGCACTTGCTTAAGATGTGGGAAGTTGGATAAATTGCCGGCATTGCGGCTTTGATATTGTCTAGTATCTGGGAGTGGCAACTGCTGTAAACTGTGTGATTTCTGCAAACATCTTTTCATTAAAGTTGTTGTCAAAAGAAATATATTTACATAGGAAAAATAGGAAACAAGCAATTCATAAAGCGTTCTATCCTTTAGTTTAAGACATGTTCTTTCTGCAAATTTATATACCATATACTCATGCTAAACAGCAGTCTTTATATTTTTCCAACAGCAAAATTTAAGTTATTTTTCGAAGTTTAATTAATTTCCTGTAACTATAAAAATCGTATTATTTGCAATGGTTTTAAGTTTTCAACATCTGTTTGGAAACTTTTGAAGCCCCGCATCGTACATGTAGTCTACAAAGACGTTTTATTTTAAATAATAATAAATATCGAACAAACATGTAGCATGATGAAGGTCTGTCATTTGCCAGTAGACTCTTTAAATGCAAACTTTAACTTATACATATAAATGATAGGCAAAAATCGTTTTGGAGTTATCAGAAACTATATAGAAAGTTCAATATATACAAGTCCAGAATACGTCAAGTCCAATATACTTAGTGCTTAAACATATTTATTTTAGCTCGGTTGCGAAACAAATTCTTGTAGCTTAAATTATTCACTTTCGAATCCGCATCCTGGAACCAACCAGTACTGATGTCATATGAAGAAACATGGTCGTGACCCGAGTATGTCTCGAACCCATGAAGCCAATATACTTCAAGTCCAATATATTTCAGGGTTATTTATTATATTTTATGTTATACACCTACTCACACTTACAATACACGCTAATGAAACTATCCTGAAATTCTGGAAATGTGAGACCCCCCAGGAGGGCAATGAAAACAGAGCTGGCTTTATCATTATTCTATTTTCAACAATCAATGATACCGGAAGTCACAGAAATATAACGACAAGAACAAAGTTGTCGGACAACACTAAACATCTGCATGTTCTTCTGAGTAACAGTTCAGAACTGTTCAAATATTTCTGGAGAGAACATGACTTTTGTGGTGGCCGAATAGCCCAGTCGGTATAGCCGCGGAACAGTATTTGGAGTGTCACGGGTTCGAGTTCCGGTCAGCTTGCACATTTTTTTTGACCCTGTGACATGAGTATAAAAATATTAAATTAAAAAAAAGTTCTCAGTGATATAAAATCGGTTTAATTACATGTTACAGTAGAAACATATATATTATTACATACTGTGCAGAGGAAAGTGAAATTATATTTCATAATTTTCACAGTGAAATTATATTTCATAATTTGCACTGTAGCCGGACTATATTTGAATGCGGATGAAAATAATTGTTCATAAAAAAAATTAATGGAATTATCAGGAAGGAATAAAATCCGCCATATGTAAATTAAATGCATACGTTGTAAGAAAATTCGAGAAATTTTAAAAAATTAAAATTCAACTTTGGTACATGATGACGTCATGAAGAAGAACGCAAGACGTAACGCGGCAAAACAAGTAAAAATGACTGAAATCCTAAAAAAAAACAACATGAAATCAATAGAAAATTTGTTTCCTTTGCAAGTAAGACTGAACTATATTTTACCCATTAACACACAAGTAATAATATTTTCACTCGTGGGTACGCTACTCGTTAAAATATTGCATCTGGTGTCCAGTCATTGAAATATATTTCGATCTTACATGTAAAACAAACAAATATCCTCTATGCAATCATAATGCTTACAGTAACATTGTTAGGCAAACATACGTAAACGTCTTACTATGAATGAAAATGGCGTCACAGTGCAGTGCTTGTTCAATTGAAATTCTTAAAGGCACTTAAGGGGGCAATGCTAATATGCACAGACATATTATAACATTAGATTTTAGTAGAACATAAAACGGATTTATTCGTGGAAACTTCGAACACAGAGTGTTTCCTACGAAAGACCTGTGGTGGCATGCCAACGTCTTGTCTTATCGAATCCACAATTTAAACTTCGTGAATTCACGATTTCATCATTCAGATTTCACGATTTCAGCTTCATGAAATCACGATTTCATCTACATGAATTCACGGTTTCATCTTCACTATTTCCACGTCACGAATTCTCGATTTCAGCTTCATGAATTAACGATTTCATTTTCACAAATTTATTAATGAATTCACGTTTTGAACTTAACTATTTCAACTTCGTGAAGTCACCGTTTTCAATTTCATGAATTCAAGATTTCAAATTTGTGAATTCCGTATGTTGAAAACGTGAATTTAATAAGTTAAATTGTTGATTCACTAAGATGAAATCGGTAATTCACGAAGTTGTAATGTCCCCACCGGTCTTACCGGTACGTTGTATCCTTTTATACATGTATTCTATATCGACATAATAATCGAATCATTATAACAAAAAAATGGTGTTGTCAGATTTCTTTAAAAAAAAAGAGAAAATAAAACATTAATATAAGTGTTGTATGTACAGGATATAGTTCCTTTTAACAGTATTAGAAGATATTTCTGAAGATATTTAGAAAGACACACGCGAAGGTCGTGATGACAGCAAAGGTGGACATGGTTTCAATTGACGCTCCGTTACACAGGTTTGACGTACAGACGCACACGCTGACACCGTCTTTTTCCTCGCACTCGTCCTTCTTTATGCTCGGCAGGCAGTTTCTAATTACATCTGAAAAACGTTAATGAAATTTCATGTAATTTGATATTGACTATTCAACAATGTATTTGTCATTTACAGTAGAAATTTTATGAGTCGAACTTCGATTAGTCGATTTTCTCGATGTGTCGAAGTAAAATGGAAGACCAGATTCCCCCCTTTATATTCCTTATACAAACCTTTATATGAGTCAAAATTGTAATTGTTAAAGCTGTATCCGAATAAAACATATTTAGGCTCAGTGACAACGATCTTTAAGCAAGAACACGTTGAAAGTTCGTAATCGGCGCTGGTGTAAAAATAACTAATATAACAGTCACAGCTTTTAGTTTATACAGAATATATTTTAGTTCGATTGTGTTGGAAGCCAGAAGCTGATTGGTACACTATCGAATCATTGGAACCAACCAGTACTTAGCAATGAGCGGTGGTTTTGGTGTCCGTATCACGGCAGTAAGCCACATTGAATTTACCATAGCACAGTTTAGCCTCCGCATCGTTGCTGGGTAGACTGTCAAGCAGTTTACCAGTACTAGTTGCCTTCACTTTTCGCAAGGAGCTGATTACTTCTGTACATGCAAGAGCAGGCAGAAGTACATTGCGAATGCCCATAGAACGGATTTCATGATCATCACAACGAAAGTGACCTTCGCCGTCCGGGAATCGAACCCGGGTCGCCCGATTCACGGTCCAACGTTATCGAGTTGCTGTATTTCTGCTCATGCGCAGTCAGGGACCACAAATGTACTACTATTTACAATATGTACTACTATACAAATCAAACTTACTCCCATCTGTTTTAGTCTTCATGCACGAACCAGTGCAAGTGTCCTTAGAAACATTGTCAGCCTTGAATTCATCATTACAACCAATGCAGTTGTAGCATTCCAGGGCCGAAACATGGTAGACTGAAAACCAAATAAATAGTGAAAAAATTGGTTTATACAGCATTCTTTTTTTTAGGTTCGATTATGAAGGAAGGTATAAGTATTTTGACTTCCATACAAAATGCTAATTCACTGTAATTATACTTATTGCCAAAGAACAAAAGCAGCCAAAGTTCACATGTGCAAATGGAAAATGAATATTTTATGAAAACAGTGTAACAAGATATGTAAAAAGCTTCTTTTTTGAGAAATTGAAATGATATCATTTTTTAGGCATAATGGGCCTTTAATGGTTAACTGGTAAACAAGCTTTTGTTGGATTCAATATAATGGTTAAATGTATTATCAAATTTTGTTGAATTTAGCCTACAAACGTTAATGTTAAATGTTATTTACATGCCCATGTTTCTTAGAAATTATAAAAAAAGGTTTATGACAAAATACAAGTATAAAAGAACTTCCATGATAAAGTTTATTGAACTACTATGTATCAATTGAAAGAACAAACATGTTTTATTTAATCTGGCAAAATATATAAAAGAATCATTAAATTACAGAAGTACTATTGTTAATTCTGTCTGAGAAATTTGATTAATGAATGTACATGTATATGTCTGTATTAAAGAACATATCAATTCCATTTCACTTTTTTATGTAACGTGTAGATTTTTTTTCTGATGATATGTCTGTTATGTAAACATATATATTTGATTAAATTTAAAACAGTTTATCCTAAACACTGTCATATCAATTTTTGTTGATTTGAAATAACGTTATAGAACAATTATTCTAACACGACCCGCATTTTCCCTATTGAACATAGAAGAACAAAAAGTGTGTGTAATTATGCAACAGATGCACAGTTTGACGGTCTATATTTAGACATGTGACGTAATCATTATACACGTGACGTAACCACTAAAAATCCGACGCGCTGAAAATAAGTTCGGAAATAAATCAGGCGCAATTTTGCTTAACTATCAAGTACCTTAACGTTTATTTGTTAATGTCGTGTTAGAATCGAAATAATATATCCAAATCAGTGATTTTATCGCTTGATAACATCACTGTTTGTCGTTCGGATGCGCATCATATATCACTCGGGCTACGCCCTCGTGATATAATTCCTCGCATCCGAACTCCAAACAGTGATATTATTGGGCAATAAAATCACAGTTTGGGATATATTATTTCTTAAATAACGTCATTAAAATGTAACGTGGCATTGTCTTTCTACACTTGAACGTTTAAATGTAAATGTGTTATGCCAGTTGGTTTTACGTAATTATAAATCATGCAAATTTAATATTTCATTCATGTCACGTCTTATTCTCATCCAAATTAAGACTCATTCTTTATAAATGTGTCTATTGTTGTTTTAATTGCGTTCTTACTGTTTTGTGTTTTCGTTCAACGCTTGCCTGAACACAACATGTATTATACTCAACATCACTAATTTCGCCTAATGGCATATTTTCATGTGACTAGTGTTAGAAATGGTCAAACCTGACATATTTTAGTCATACACATGAACAACAAAAGTTTATGTGAAAAATAGTTTACATCTGTAGATTTTAACGTGCAAACAGTCACAATAGTCCATTAAAATATGTGCATTTATCTAAATCAAACAGCATTTATTTAATGTTTTTGTGTGTAGAAAAAGAAATTGAGTACAAAGTTAAGATAGTGTTAATATTTAAATTTGAGCAATATAACACTAATTTTTTTACTGAAACATGAAAAAAAAACAAAAAAAAAAAAAACAAGATTTATACTACATGTTTTTTTCAAAATGGCCGACCTATGATCTAATGATCTATGAACTCCACTGAGGTCAAATAGCTTAAAAACATAAAATTTTCTTTCATCAATCCACTGGTCAACTTAAAACGTGTGGCAAAATATTTTTTGGCTTAAAGGAACTCCACTGAGGTCCAAAAGCCTAACAACACAACATTTGCATCTCTAGCATAGATCAGCTTAGGCACTTTAACCATTTTTGTTTGTTTGTTTGTTTATCTTTACGGTATTACGATTGTCAACCTTTTTATTCAAATTAGACATGTTCAGTGAGAATTTCATAGATTTCAATAAATTTCTGTGACTAAAATATATTACTCAAGAATGAGCATTTTATATTTTTAGATTATTAAGATTGTCAACTTTTTTATTCAAATTAGACATATTCATTAAAAATTTCGTTAATTTCTGTGACTAAAATATTTTACTCAAGAATGAGCATTTTATATTTTTAGATTATTAAGATTGTCAACTTTTTTATTCAAATTATACCTTTTAATTAAAAATTTCGTTAATTTCTGTGACTAAAATATTTTACTCAAGAATGAGCATTTTAAATTTTTAGATTATTAAGATTGTCAACTTTTTTATTCAAATTAGACATATTTATTAAAAATTTCGTTAATTTCTGTGACTAAAATATTTTAGTCAAGAATGAGCATTTTATATTTTTAGATTATTAAGATTGTCAACCTGTTTATTCAAATTAGACATATTCAGTGGGAATATCATAGATTTCAATAAATTTCTGTGACTGAAGAATGAGCATTTTAAATCTTTAAATTATTAGGATTGTTAAAAGTATTCTATAGAAATAATAATACATCTTACCAGCAATAGAAAATAAACATAGTCCTAATAACACTTTCATTTTGTCTTTCTTGGGGGGATAAATTCGTTTACCGTGTTAACTCGACAAAATCTTTGTCCTAGCTGTTAATAACTAGCTGTACGTCACTATGAATAATGTGAATGTTAATGAAGTCTAAAATCTTCCGTTGAATATATACGATTCGACTACGACACGGTGACTATGGGGCATGTTTAAGATTATAGGTCTATTCAGATAGTATGTTCTTCAAACGCATGCATTTAAATTGTTACAGGCGGGATAAAATTTAACAACAACCTTGAGGGTTTTTTTACAGATGGCACTATGTATGGGTAAGAGTTCGTATTAAGACGACCGTAGGGAGTCTTATCGAACTCTTACCCATATAACTGCAAATCGGCTCTTATAACTCGATATCAGATAAAAATATAGAAAGTGTCACCTCTTTAATTAAGCATAACATTATTTTTCCCCAGCAGTCACGTACAAACAAGGATGGGGTCCAATTACTTAATCTGGCATGTAAAACAATGAGTTTTCAACAATACCTAGGATTGTTAATGCAATTCATTTCTGTCATATGAAACAAAATACTGTTTTGCTTACTTTTTCTAGAAAATATAAAACAGTCAGCAATTAATAATTGACATTTTTCTTAGAGTTAAAAGGATATCAAAAAGTTACTGTGTTCTCATTTGTCTCTGCGAGTTGAGCTCCACGTGCATTATCTATGTAATAAATTTGAATGTATCCTCACATTGCTACAGTGTTATCAGCCTTTTTAGAAACACCTGACCTGGCTAATTAAAATATGCCAATCACAATTTTCACTATCAGCACTGGTTTCTTCATGAGAAAGCGGCTACACTAATTACTGCCAAGTAAGAGCCGATTTGCAGTTATTTATGTTAATTTGCGAAATGTCATTCTATTGTGAAATATATTTTTTCCGTCCAAAACATCTTGAGGTTTGACATTTGACATTACTTAATGTTAATGTTGAGAAATGTTATTTTATTGTGAAAGATGTTTTTTTCACCCCAAAACATTTCGTATTTCGTATTAATGTCACAGGTGTAGAAATTTACATATTTCATCATCACATCAAAAGGCGATACATGTAATTGGCCAACTTATCGAGATTTCGTGTCGTGTTATCGACCTGAATGTTGAAGACACGATAAATTAGCCAATCATTGTGTCTTCGCCTTTCGCCCTTTGGGAATGATTTTTTTTACTTTGAAAGTTTTATTATGCGCTAAATTTATAGTTCTACTGAAGGTGGATTGAATCTCAACACAATGTTCCGTTTTATATTTTAATGTTAATCTTTCTTAGTGGAATACCACAAATAATATATAACATATACATTTAAGTCAGAACATAAGTTATAACACCCAAAAATTACAAAGTACAACATTCTCTTAACATTAACTTAAAATATTTGACTTACCTAAAATACAAAAAGATGTCCTTTTTCCTCAATTTATTTTCAAACTATTTTTTAAACTATTTCAATCCAGAGTCATACAATCTATGGCTCTTCAGAGGAAAGGACTTTAGAACAACAACTTCCATAACAATAATAGACCAATCAATTTTACTGTACATCATGTGACCCTTAATTCCCTTAGGTAATTTTAACCAATCAATTTTAATTTCGTGTAACGAAATTTGGAATCACCCAATGAAACAATGTTTACTTGTTAATAAAAGTATTAACTGAAACCCTGTAAGTTCAAGACAAATCAGCTTATGGTTACTGATAGTGTTAAAATTTCTTTTGTAACATTTACTATCGAAAGGTCTGAAATAGGATTAATTATCTTGTTAAAGCGATTACCGTAGATTGGTTAACTTAGATCTTCCTATCTGTATTTGTTCTTATGCCTTCTGTTATAACATATTACCGACATTAAAGTGTACCTTAAGAAATAAAAGCAAAATAAAAATTAAAATAAAATTGAATAATAAAAAATAAAATCAAAAATTTTAATGCATAATACCACCTCCTCCTCTAAATTTTCTTTATTCCTATAAAGAGTACAGGAGTAATATATCCAAACTGTATTAATTTAAATACATCAAGCATTCTATGTATTTAAGTAAGTAAATGCATTAAGCATTAGATCAGTATTTTTCTACATAAAGTACAAAACAAAAGCATATATTTACAACAATAACCAAATAAATGCATTTTTTTTAACTGTCATTAAATACCATTTATATTCTCATGCATATTGCATATAAGTATCTCAACAGTTTTTGTTTGTTTTTTTGTTTGTGTTTTTTTTTTATAAAAAGAAAACATATACATATGTACAAAAATCAATACACCATGCAAAACATAAAAATATATGACATCAATTTGATTTATTTCTTTTCATCTTGTCAAAGTTTGTCTTAATTGTAAGATAATTCATGAAAATACAAATTAATATTCACATATATATACTAAAACAATATATACAATTTATTTGTCTGAGGTGGTGCTATCTATACTAACTATTATAAAGCAATGGGTATAAACATGTATTACCAAGTTTGTAAAGGTATTACTAAGTTTGTAAAGGCATGAACAATTTGTCATGTTGAATAAAGAAATAGGCACAATAAGTAGTAGACATAATATGTCTTAATTTTCTTGACACAAAATAATTTACCCTGTAATTTGATTCTATCTGTAATGGTTGATTTGTTAGCTTATTCTTTATTTCAAAATCACCCAGTCAAATGTAACAATTGGAGTCCACATACCTCTGATTGTTATTTGGTCAATGTTTTTTTTAGGTGCCTTTATTTGCCAGTAGGTAGGACATAAAGTTAGAGTTTTAAGTGGTACTTGTACAGAATGTTTTCCATTTAGTGATTTCAACCACTATTTTAGTACTGTTCCTTGACACTTTACATGTATTTATCATTACAAAAACAAGAAGAATTATGATTATGACATTAAGGGATATGATCCAGTGCTCATTTTCTTAAATTTAGTTTCTCCCAAAAATACATGTCATTTGTTGTAGCTTGTTGAGAAGTTACATAAAACTAATGATGGAACAGTTGAAGCTTTAACCTGTTTGGTACAAGTGATTTGTAATGTAGATACAATAATTAATACTTTTCTAAGCTTACATGCTGTTACTATGAAAGCAATCAGAGAAAATGCTGCAAACAGATGCTGTGACATATAAAATAATGTCATTGGTTGAAATAATATTATCATCCCAAAGCAATGTTTCCTGACAGTAAGGAATCTGTGAGAGATTGATAAATAAGTGAGTTTTCTTTTGCTGATTGTGCCATTTTTTTGTAAGTTAAGATGAGCTTTTGCTGTCATCTGCTAAAATTTTATTCATAGTGTGATTTGTAAATTTCAAATTTTGGAACATTTATAGCCATTGGATTTTCAAATAATAAATTACTATCTATATCTTTCAAAGAACTATCATTAAAAAATTGTTGTAGCAATGCAAGATTTACAGGATGTAATTTTGCTGAAGTATTTTCATAGCAGTCTGTCAATCTTGCAGGGAAAAAATGTATGACTTGTAGAAAACTGAACAATCACATGGCACATTCATGGTACAAAACTTGCAACCTTTAACCATTTTCTTTCCAGTTTTACAATCATATTCAAGGACATCAACATTATAAACTAATATAGAATCTTTAGATAGCAGAACAACATCATTAGAAAATATGATTCAGCAAAAATCTAAAAATTGCAATTTTCTTTGATTAAAAATTTTGTCATTTTTTAAACAAGGAGAATTCACAAGATTTCTTAATAGCAGGCATTAGAATTTTATTAAAAATCACACTGCACAATTTTATTAAACTTGCATTTTTGAAGCTCCAGATTTCCAAAAAGTTGTGTAATATTGTAGATCATAAGTAATAGCAATATGATCAGGTAAATCTAGTATTTGTGTTGCATGATTTGAAGTATCATTTACTGGAACTGGAAATGAAGTTATCTTATATAACATTAATGGCTTTAAAATTGGTGAAATGGGAAATTTTACAGAAACATATAGAGTAGAACCTTTTTCTAGCATTAAAATGTCCTAGCATAATGGTAGAATAAGTGCTGGTCTGTATATACTAAGTGGAATCCTATGAACTTTTTGTCAAGAATGTTCTGAATATCATTCAGTGTGCTTGACATTGTTTTTCAAAGGTAATTAAGTGAGGAGATACCTTACCATCAATTAAAGCATAAATACCATTCCTAAAAGTTCATTGAAAAGTGTTTCAAGCTGTCTAGATTTTGTAATTTGCTTAGAAATGAATGCACTCATTGTTGTAAATGATTTCTTCTAAATTATCAAATGATTCAAACAATTGAGTTTGAATATGTTCAATAGCCAAATGATTTTCTTCCAATCCTTTAACAATATTATTCATTCTTCATCAGTAGCTTTCATGTTAAGAACTAAGATCATCTTCATGTTGTTCTACAGACTTAATCAGATTGCTTGATATTTTATTTAATGAATTGATATGTCTAGCTAGCATCTCTACATCTTTTACTGTAGCTGTGCCAAATATTGATCTTGAGAGACTTCCAATAAAAGGTAAAATGGCACGCTTACTTCTACTTTTAATTGAAATTTTCTTTTCAGGCAACAATTTATTAATGGTAGCAATTGTACCATTTATCATAACTTCCGTACTCTGTCGGATTTGATTAATTTACTAAATCACAAAACTTTTTGTTTCTTTTACAACCAAAAATACTGAACAAATTAACTGTTTTTGGTAATATAATTTCAAATGTATGAATCCATGACTCTTCTGCCAACTGCAAGTTATCCACTGGTTCAAATACAACCCCATAATTCAAACGTTGCAAGTCAGAGACCTTCTTTCCAGACACCGATGGACTACATAGTATCATGCTCAAGGTCAGCATCAGGACAATAGAAGCAACTAGAATACAAGGAAATGAAAAGAATCACCAAAGGGACAAACAAAGTGATCAGTTTTATCTGCCTAACCTTTGAACTAAATATTTGAAGTAAAAAGAGAAAAAGACCATTCATTCAATGCACACATTCAGTCATCACATATACAGTCATATTCAGTTCAAAAGATAGTGATCCTAACCTTCCTGCACTAATTTTTGCCATCTTATAATACGGACCTGAACTATATTCAAGAAAAAGAA